GATCAGACGAACCCTTGAGGCACTTTTGACGCGCCCCGTGCTTTAAGGGCCGATTAAGGGGTAAGGGGTAAGTTGCACACATCTGGAACCCGAGGCTGCGGCTAGATATTGACTCGAGGAATCGATTGCGACCCTTATTTTGGCGATCAGACGAACCCTTGAGGCACTTTTGACGCGCCCCGTCCTTTAAGGGCCGATTAAGGGGTAAGGGGTAAGTTGCACACATCTGGAACCCAAGGCTGCGGCTAGATATTGACCCGGGGAATCGATTGCGACCCTTATTTTGGCGATCAGACGAACCCTTGAGGCACTTTTGACGCGCCCCGTCCTTTAAGGGCCGATTAAGGGGTAAGGGGTAAGTTGCACACATCTGGAACCCAAGGCTGCGGCTAGATATTGACCCGAGGAATCGATTGCGACCCTTATTTTGGCGATCAGACGAATTCTTGAGGCACTTTTGACGCGCCCCGTCCTTTAAGGGCCGATTAAGGGGTAAGGGGTAAGTTGCACACATCTGGAACCCGGGGCTGCGGCTAGATATTGACCCGGGGAATCGATTGCGACCCTTATTTTGGCGATCAGACGAACCCTTGAGGCACTTTTGACGCGCCCCTTCCTTTAAGGGCCGATTAAGGGGTAAGGGGTAAGTTGCACACATCTGGAACCCGAGGCTGCGGCTAGATATTGACCCGAGGAATCGATTGCGACCCTTATTTTGGCGAGCAGACGAACCCTTGAGGCACTTTTGACGCGCCCCGTGCTTTAAGGGCCGATTAAGGGGTAAGGGGTAAGTTGCACACATCTGGAACCCGAGGCTGCGGCTAGATATTGACCCGAGGAATCGATTGCGACCCTTATTTTGGCATTCAGTCGAACCCTTGAGGCACTTTTGACGCGCCCCGTCCTTTAAGGGCCGATTAAGGGGTAAGGGGTAAGTTGCACACATCTGGAACCCAAGGCTGCGGCTAGATATTGACCCGGGGAATCGATTGCGACCCTTATTTTGACGATCAGACGAACCCTTGAGGCACTTTTGACGCGCCCCGTCCTTTAAGGGCCGATTAAGGGGTAAGGGGTAAGTTGCACACATCTGGAACCCGAAGCTGCGGCTAGATATTGACCCGAGGAATCGATTGCGACCCTTATTTTAGCGATCAGACGAACCCTTGTGGCACTTTTGACGCGCCTCGTCCTTTAAGGGCCGATTAAGGGGTAAGGGGTAAGTTGCACACATCTGGAACCCAAGGCTGCGGCTAGATATTGACCCGGGGAATCGATTGCGACCCTTATTTTGGCGATCAGACGAACCCTTGAGGCACTTTTGACGCGCCCCGTCCTTTAAGGGCCGATTAAGGGGTAAGGGGTAAGAGCTAGGGCCAAATAAAGGTCATATTCCTGCTCCCCGTCCCCCAATTGACCTAATAAGAGTTTTTTAAGCGATTCTGAATCCGACGCTGTATTCGTTGCTGTTGCTGACGCTAACTTCACGGACATTTCCCGAAAGACTAAGTCGGTCGGTTCAACACCACGAAAGATCCGCAAACACTTTAGGGCAAAGAGAGCAACATCTTGAAACAAAATTTTCCACATTATTGACAAGTTTCTGGCTCGAGGAAGTGTTAACAATAGGTTCACGCAATTCAAGGAACACAGCGGCGGTCATAAACCCATTCAAAGGCTCACGGCGAACACCACTCGTGTGAGAGATGCGCTACTCAGACTGTCAATGGTCAGCGATATCGGGTGGCTCTGGCGACGTTTTGGAGGGTTTTGCAATATCAGGGTGAGCAGAGATCCGGAAACGCTTAAGACCCAATGGTTCCAGCAAGACGGTGCCACGCCAATACCGCTAAAGAAAACCGAGAGGGGCTGTGGGAGCGCTTCGGGCAGCGCGTGATCTCGAGGTTCGAGACACGCCCGTGGTCGGCGAATTCTCCGAACGTAACCCCACCGGACTTTTTCCTATAGGACCAACTCAAGTCCCAGGTGTACCGAGACCACCCAAAAAGTTCCAAAGATCATAAGGATGCAGTGAAGTCAGCGGTGTGCCGTCTGCAGCTTTCTGTGGGTCGTGCTGCAGCAGAGGTCGCGCTGCGCCGGACTAAACTGCATTGAGCAAAAAGGGAATCATCTCGAACATGACCTCGGCGCGGCTCAGAAAGGCGACTGCCGAGGATCGAAATCCCCTCAAACGAAATGTCTTTGATGAGGCTTTCAGGTGATACCCAATTATGTTTTGTTACACTGATACGCCCTTCAATACGTTAGTTATAAAATCGTCCAACTTTTTTGAGAAGCCCGGTATTATATTCATGTTATCTATGGCGCCTCCCCCGCCATAGATTCATGTTATCTATGATTCTGTAAATTTATCTCGAATGTTTGAATGGGCAGGGTAAATTGATGCAGATCCGGAGCCCGCTAAGCAGGGCTTGCTGCGCAGGTCCGACCTCATACCGTCCCATCGATGGACGGAATTTAATTCAATTCAATTCGATGGAGGCAATTCCGGGTTGAATCGGAAAAATTGGGACGGGCACACGAGAGTCTGAGACAAACGTAGTAAAGTGAAATGTACTTTGTTTTAGACATAAGACACCCAAGCGTAGACTTAACGTGAGGCACGATAAAAGAAAATACTTATTACAATTTCAACGTAAGTAGGTATACCAATGCGAGTCTCCATTGCTTTATCAACTTTAATTCTTACAGGAGTTTATCACGAGGAAATGCCAGGGCAGCACCGTTGATCGTCTCCTGTGGTCTATGGGCTATTGGAGCAGTCTAATTCCAGTATATGACACTTAAGTCCAACAGGGAACGCCAGCCACAACTTGGATGGCACTCGAATGGATATACGATCCCCGCAGCTGACACGACACAGCTCTTTTCTATTCAGATATCCAGAGGGATGCATAGAATTCCATATGTATACCCATAGAGCTCTGCAGATTGTAACCACTGTAGCCAGGCATACCCTGCGACACGTCATCAGCATGTGAGGTTTCCAGAGCTTTCTTTCATAGCCGTATTCTCGGCAACACCATATCCACGATGTCGCATATTCTCTTCATCTTATCACTCCAAGCATGTGCATTGTGTGTTCCCATTGTATTCTTATTTTATGCTTTACTTAGTGTTTCGTCAGTTTGGTATTTACTTGACATTTTCCAGTGATCATATCCTGCTTCTCAGGGTGCCTGGGGACCTTTTAGAGCTTGAAGTGATGTCAGACATTCCCTTTCAGTTTTTCTGTACGGGCAGCATCCTACAACGTGCAAGCTCGAGTCTCGACTAAAATACTGTTGAGAAAAGGAATGGATTACCTAAAACAATAATGTCATTAGGCCCTATCCCTGTCTGAATCTCGAAACACGTGCTGATATTTTTGTGACACTAGTTCCGGGTCTGATGGAGATCAGCCGATTCTCTGCCAAACTATAATGGGGCTTTATTCAATTACACGTCCACGAATTTTCTCACCGGCGCCCCACCCAGATGGGCAAATATCCCCATTTACTTAGCAGACGATTTGGGCCATAAAATGTTTATCAAAACATCAGAATAACAACGCCCAATGTAACGCAGATTTGAGGACGATACCCGCGCTGTGATAATCATTCACACACGCATTTCGCTCGGCTGGTGATCTAGCACACCCAATATGGCCATGCAGGCTGCATGCCTGTATGATGACACTCGTTCATAACCGGTATCTGATTTTCACGACCAGCGGATATCCGTCTCGTGGGAGTGACTTTGTGCTGTCTGGCGATAATCGTCTCATAAAGGGTTGGTGTTCGTCTCGGGTAAACGTCACGATATTAAATCGGAAGGAAGGAATTGACGCGCAGTAGAATGGTTCGGATCCAATAAACCTGTACCAATAACACTTTTACATTTTACCCATGAACCGTCTACCACACCTGATGAAGTAACATTAACTAGAACAATAAAACCCACAGGAAATAAAAGTTCCAGATATTGTGATATGTCGAAATCAGGATCCTGTTCAAGGCACATGTAGCTTATGGGGACATAATTTTACATGTTAATGCTGTTTGGCAGTGCCTGCTATCAGCAAAAAGCGCTATGAATTTTTATGTTTAATGTTTTTCGTTTTAGCTAATGCTGCCTGCACGTTAGAACATGTCATCTAAACCGCATACATACACAAGTTACCTAAATGTCCGGTCTATACCTTATCCATTCTAAGTGATGTCAACTTTGTTTCCGGGAGATAATGCTATTAACACGTTGCCTTCTTTGCCTGAAGTCATGCTGTTCAACTTGTGTGGAGACGCTGAAAAGTCGGGATCGCTGGACACAGCACGGATGTAGCCAGCGATTATCGCAGAAGATAACAGCCGCTCGGATGACTTCGACATGATTAAGTCGGACAATCACTTTTTAGTGGCTGAGACCAGACTTGTTATTGCCAACAACGACATGCTGTCTGAAGGCTTTGCTGATGACAATGCATCGAAGCCACCAGCCACGATGTACCGTTGTCTCATTCTTGTCTGGGCCGTGATATTTTTAACAAGATGACTGAATTTAAGCCACGCGCAAAAATAATCAAATCGGGTCTCGTCTGGCGCACCCAGCTTACCTAATGCGTCTTGCTATCAACTTACCTATAGATTTCATCAACAGTGCATGTGTGCCTAATTAGGCTAAATCGTTCGCTGATGTAATAAGCGCCTATGCGTGGCCTCACGTACTCAGATCCTCGCCTCTGTCTCGGGTTATTGTGCATCTCCCACGCAAGGCGATGTTCGGTCACTGCATATCGGCTTGTTTGCACGTTTCTGCAGCTAACAGGCCTCGCCTTTGACATCTACGGCTATGATACGACGCTCTAGTCGTTAGCACCTGTGAGCGGCGTCCGTGTCACGAGCGGTGACCCGAGTGAGCGGGGCAACTCATGGGGAGTATCCGAGGAGAGGGGCGTTACGAGGGCGTTACGGGCGTGTAACGGGGCGTTACGGAGGCGTTACCTGAGTACACAGCCGGAGGGCATCCAGAACCTGCAGCAGGTCGAGCGTGTCGCACTCGGGCATGGCCATTTGGAAATCGTCCACCGTGTAGCAGCCTGTAACGAGACGACAGAGCGTCACTGGACGGTTCGATTCGGCCCGGCTGCCGCTCGAACGGTCGGTGGGCCGTGACAGGGGGAGGGGAGGGGCAGATATCGGGGCGGGGAGGCGACAGACACCAACGCTTAGCTGGGTGTATGCTGCGCATCGATCGCGCTGAAGTTGGTCGCGCGTACTGCTGATCAGAGGACGCTCATTACTGCATGGCTAGTGGCTAGTGTGGAGCTGCAGGGGCTGTCCTATCTCAACCCTGAGATTTGAAGCCACACTGAGCTGACTATATCAGCTCGTGGGGCAGAAAACAGCTGAATTCGACCCCCTTTCGTCGCACAATGACATTGCAAAAGAAAAGTAACAACATAATTGTGATTCCCACGGTGTATTTGCAGATTGATCTAACTAGTATGGGAAGCACCATACTATTGATGTAAGGGAATTCCGTCATCAGTCATTGATCCTCATCTGGCCGCAATCTGACCGCAAAATGACAGCACAAATGGATCATTGGCCCGAGTCGTGACCATGGCTTTCCCGGCCGTAATGACCCTGTGAACGGCTCCCGACCCGAGAGTCGACTTTTATCGCCGACGATTTATGTTTACTGCCTTTTAGCGGTAATCACCAATTAATAAATCAAAAATGAGATTTATATTGCAGAAGAAGCTCTGATCCACAGTGACAACTCACATGGCTTCACGGTTTATAGGTCGAATAAACGATTTGATCATCTTCACTGGAATAAAGTTACATTCCACTTTTTGCTAAGGAAAGTATTTGTTACAGCGAGCCATTAGCTGCAAAAATAACTTCTCGCATCCATCAAAGACACAAGGCGAACGACCTCTGCCATTATACATACGTGACTGGGCGAAACTAACACCGGATGTGCGCCAAACTGAGTCAGCCGGCTCGCTCATCCTACCGACACGCACCATGACGAAACCGTCTGCACCAAACCATCCCGAGCTGATGATGACAGCACGGCCGATGGGCCGCCGTTACTTTTCACAGACACTGCTATATCACCCGTCCATTTCTGTCTAGTCATCAGCCGCATCGTGAGCTGACTTCATTAACCAGCGTGGCCACTCACCAGTGGCCTTCGCCTTCTGAACGAACTCGCCGGAGAGCATGTGGCCCAGGATGTCGCCACACAGCCAGCGAGGAGAGAGCACCAGGATCTCCTGTTCACCACCTGACGGCTTCAGGTACACCACCTGTGAGAAAGAGGGGGGAGGTGTGACGTCATGAGATAAAGCGGAAGAGAGGGCGGAGGTGATGTCATTCGGTGAAGCACCCGGCTCCGGGGGGCGGGCTATTCCGGCCGCTCCAGGTATGTGTTTCATGAGTGCAACAGCCGGGTCATGGGGTAGAAATGACAACAGCGACACAGTTGTGCGGTGTAAACAGGTGGTAAGTCCGTTACATCCCGGATGGGGGTATAGTCACCCGTTCATATGAGCTGACATCAGAGCGACTGTTCACATCAGGATCTCAGTTCACCCGACCGCCAGGTAATACAATGCTTTATGACGCGGCCAGGCGTCAATAACACAAGCCCATTCCCGAGTTCTCAGAGTCGTTTGGATCCACTGCGTGTGTCTCACGTGACCTGTGACGTCACAGAGCGGGCCGTCGACCAAAACGGACCAGGATCTGCGGTTCCGCACGCCGCGAGCGCATCGAATGACAGCCGCGGCAGCTGATTCAAATTTCAACACCAGGATATGCCCCCGGGGCTCAGTTCTATGCCGGCGGCGGCGCGGTGCTGCAGAATTTCATACAGGCACGTAGCCGCCAACACGAATCATCGCGGCTGAAGTCCACTCAGGTGTGAGCCATTGCTACACCAGGATCTACTGCATATGTTCATTTGTGATGATCATTGATCGGTCCCATGTGCGCATCGCATCCTCTCTGTGACGGTACGTATCGGGAACGTGATAACAGATTACAGCGAACCCTTCACGCTCTGCCGCGACCACAATAAAGACTGTCATTTAGACAGAGGTTGGCTCTCCGGCTAATGGATCACTATGACGTCGGTTTTACTCCAAAGTGGAGTGGTTTAAGTTCGGCAGTCGGGTTAGACCCTCCCACCCCTCCCTCACTGGACTGGGGTTAGATTGGGCGGACCGCAGACCCCGCATTGACGTCAGTCGAGTTCTGTAACACAGCGGTGCTGTGCTGCAATGGAAGTAACCGGACCCGAACAACGGTACACTGTGTCTAGGAACACTCGTTGTCGGAACGTACTCGACAAACCGTTCTCACTCTATATCGAGATAGGTCTCCACTCATCCCCTGCAGTATCGCTAGTAAATACGGGGGATGCGTTTTTTTGCGGCGGCGGTGTTTGCGTTTTTTGCGGTGTTTGCGTTTTGCGGCGGACGGGCGTTTTTTGGCGGCGTTTTTTGCGTTTTTTTCTGCGGTTTTCGGCGGGCGGGCGATTGTTTCTTTTTTTGCGAAGTTTGCGTTGGCGTTTTGCGCGTTTCCCGGCGTTTGCGTTTTGCGGCGGGCGGGCGGTTTTTCACAATTAAAGTCCCAACCTTCGGATCCGCAGTGCTGTTCGACAAGCGCTGCCCGGGCCTATCGCTAGTAAATACGGCGAGCTATCCGCCGGCGATCGAACAATCGCAGCGCTATCAAAATGGCAAAGTAACGCGAAAGTCACTACAGACGCAACTGAAAGGGCTGAATCATTCAGAGACTAGCAGTGTGCATTGTAGATCATGACGCGCAGCTGGTTCGACTGGTTCGTGGAACTGGTGTGAATACTGGATGCTTTGGTCATCCACATCACGCCATGAGAGCCAAGCTGATTGGCTCTCGGCCGTCACGGAGCACACTGTGACGTCATATCGCGTCAGATCGCTCCTATGACGTCACCAGGAAGAGGAGCACATCCGGGCGGAAGAGCCACTCAGGCTCCGCCCGGGCCGTCTGTATACCCACGACCCCATGACGTCGACCCAAAGGGTTCGTCGTAGGGGAAGGTGGGGTAAGACGGACCAGCTAAGGTTTGAGGCCGCATATCTTGCTACACTGCTCTCGTAATTCATATTATTTATAGTCTTCGGAATGCTCAATCCTTCCTCTGTTGATATGTGTAAAGACTAAATTTCAAATTAAAGACATCTAGGTGGCATGGATGCTCTTAAAGAGGGACATGTCAAAAACTCAGACAAGAAAAAACGTGGGGTAAGACGGACCACCCAGCAGTGCCTGCTATCCGTTCATGTGTGTTACACTTCTGCTCTGTACTCTTGTAAGAAAAAGTAACCAGAATGGTAAAATAACAAAATGAGCCTTTATTCTTTACTCATGTGTGATGGAAGTGCAGCTAAAAGCTGGGAACATGTGTGTTGATTGTCGTTTGGCATGAATGCATGCTAACTGAGCACTTGCATGCATGGCTCACATGCAACAAAGACTCCTTCCTGAAAAATTAGCTTACTTAAACTTGTGTCAATGTTTTGGAAAAGAACTTTCCATATGCAGGGTACAATGGACCACCACAGGGTAAGATGGACCACAGTGGTCCGTCTTGCCCCAAATCTAAATTCTGTCATTATCATGACGTATATGTCAAATAGCCCAACATTGCAAAACCTTGCCTTTCCTAAAGTGTGACTATAACTAAGTTTATAACTTTGTTCTTCACAGTTAAGTGCAAAATAGAAACTAATCATGCAAGAAAGGCGCCGTAATTGAATCACCCGTAGACCTCTTATATTAGATCGGTTTGACGAAAAACAACATTTTTCTCAATAACTCAAAAGCTATGCATCCTAGCAGCATGAGCTCAAGGTGGCCATTGTTACGAAGGAAAACAAACATAGTGAGTGCATAAAGCAGTAGATACCAGCAGCGGTTCAGCCGGGAGGGCTGGTGGTCCGTCTTGCCCCGCTGGGCCGTCTTACCCCACCTTCCCCTCTCTCGACAGTAATGATCCGCGAGATATCAAAAGATCAAACGAAGCACAACACTTATATCATTGACGAGCCATAGAAAATGCTTATGTAGACATAAACCAACAAACACCTAACCAATAAAGTTTCATATCACCACATTCAGCACACGTAGCATCATCAGCAACTCTCTCTCTCTCTCTCTCTCTCTCTCTCTCTCTCTCTCTCTCTCTCTCTCTCTCTCTCTCTCTCCCTCTCTCTCTCTCTCTCCCTCCTCCCATCCCTCTCCTTCGTACCCCTTTCTCACCTCGCCCATGAGCTGCAGCTGCTGAACCACCTCCTGAACGTGCTCCTCGCCGACCAGCGGGTTCACCTGGGCCCGCACCATCTCCACCAGGTCGGGCCACGTCAGGATCGGAAAGTGCGGCTGCAGACGACGCCAGCCGCCCAGCTGGGCTACCACGGCCTCCAGGAACCCGGTCGACTTGGGCAGGCCCTGCGGCGACGGCGGAACGGAATGGTCACACACGGGGAAGGGGAAGAGATGAATGCCGGCAGTCTGACATCTTAGTTTGACGATTGCCACTTACTGGGGGAAGATGAAAGTGCCATAACTCGTGCAGGACTGGGTGGAGGGGGGGGGGGCTCCCTACAAAACACCTCTTTCGTATTTCAGGAATATTTTATAAACCGTCAAACGTATCGCCATGAACCGTTCAGTACTGTCGGTTGCATCAATTTGACACATTGTGTCCAAAATACAATTTCGTGGCTTTTATTCGTTGCCGCAAGAAAGGACCTCAGAGTAGCGCCATGTTCGGTCGATTTTGATGCAAAGCATGGTTCTACTGCTCGAAATCCGTTCAGAGCTCGGAAGATAAATATTTACACTTTCCGCGACTCGCAACAGTGACAAGAGCCACTTTTGTCGGTTTTCGACAGAAAGGAGGACGAACAACACTATTTCAGAAATAACATGGACGGAGACACTGGTGTTGCAGAAGTGAGAGACGACTGCGCTAAAGTGAGAAGTGTGAGAGTGACAGACACGACGACACACTGGCACACAGTGGCAGTGAGAAAGTGACAACAGTGACTAGCGACGACTGGACGGTGGACAGTGACAGGGATGACAGTGAAGGGACATTCAGCGGCAAGACGTGACATCTTCGTCAGCTGGCGATTGTGGCAGCTGGTCAACAACTCGGCGTAGACGAGCGCGAAGAGAACAACGGCCTGGACGGACCTTAAGGAAGGCAGGACATAGAGGAACTGAAACGTACCGCTGTGAAATAATCTGTATTTGAAAGAAGGTGGAATAGGAGACCGAGAGAGTTGGTGGCGTGGGCTCAAGGAGGAACCATGAGTGTGATTTAACTCATTTGAGTCATGTGCGGGAGTATTGCATCAGTTTTTTTTTCCAGGCAGGATCTCGCAGAGGAAAGCTGAAAATGCGCATATTATAATGAGCAGGTAGACTGCAATGAGGACGGCTGGGTACATAGAAATAACACAGTAGCTCCCGAAGGTAAGGCAGCTGGTGCCGCCTGCCAGCGGCACTCCGGCGGCGAGCGACACCTGGAAGAGCTTCCCCCGGTCACCGTCAGGTGGCGGGTCGGTAGCCGGCGGTAGGCGTGCAGTGCTGGCGTCACATGCGGGGCGGAGCGGCCGGCAGAAGCGCACAGCGCAGGCAGCAAGGCACGAAACTTTCCTTGAGGTAGGCATCGTCAGTAGTGAGCCGGCGATAGCCCTGGCGACTGGCGCCGGCGACCCGCCCGATACCAACAGTGCCCTGCAAGCGCAGCCGCCGCACGGTCGGTGAGTTAGTTCTGTCGCGCCGGGAGCGGAGCGGGACGGCAGCCGCGCGGAGAGGCGCCACGCGCCGCCCGGCTCAGAGACCTTCGCGAGAAACCCGCACAAGATCGGACCAAAGGTTGTTCGACTGGTAATTTCAGTTATACGCGCTAGTTCCCTCGCGGACGTGGCGCCTCCGCCGGCCCTCCGCCCCGTCCGAGTGTGCGTGTACGACAGGAAAGAGACACTAAGCCGTAGGGTTAGTCAGAAGCGCCACCGGCAGCGTCCAGCCAGTGCCACCGTACAGCTCTACCCACGCGGCACAGCTCTAATGAGGACGGTCTACGGGGCCCGCCCCATACGCCAAGCGCATCACAGCCGCTGCCAACGGGGCGAGACGAGAGTGGGCACAGACACGAGTCAGCACCAGTAGACTGACCTGGGTGACCTTGACTTTGGTCTCCGACAGGTAGCCCTTTAGGTGCTTCAGGGCGGGCGATGTCACGGAGGTCGCGTCCAGGACGAAGACGCTCTCGTGGAGGTCAAAGACGTGCTCAAATCGCTCCTGCACCTCCTTGAGAAGAACGTCCACCTGTGAGAGAAAAAAACATGGTTAGTTTTGAGCCAGGGGCCGGACAGCTGACGACGCCCGTCGTATGTACCAGGGAGAAATGTTCGCTTCCAGATTTTAGCGGCCATCTACAGCTAGAGCAAAAGTTATTCCGAGAAATCTTAGTGAAGAGTATCATTCACTTTTCAGATCTATAGGAAAAAGCTAACAAGACGAAATAAAGTTGTTCAAGGAAAAAACAAAGAAAGCCTGGAGACCGTAAATTATACTTGTGCATGGGCCAAGCAGATGGGATCGTCCAATTGGGTTCGGAATCTAGTTAGAGAGCGCCGGAGAGACTGTATGTACAAAGATAGGACGTAATCAGTTTAGTATCGACTGGCCCGAGGACGCCCCTAGCTGGGACAAACAGAAAACGATCTCATGATTTGTTTTGCATCCAGGCGGATGTTCACACAGAGCCTGAATACATCAAATTATTCCCTTCAGTCTGCTATGAAATTGTATTGTCCATAAAATGTTACGCACCTTTTTACGCTTTCCTTTGATAACAAATCGATTGGGAGCTTTGTCTCTGTGTTGAGGGTAACTGAATCGCACAATCCCCAGCCTCTGCCGACGGCTCTGTCCGAGGGTCAGTTCTCACCTCTGCAGATATGTACTCCCCATGTCCGTTCTTGTGACACTGACTGAGATCAGCATGTGTGGCGACCAGAGCCACCTTGGCCGGCTTGCTGGAGCGGCCGCAGTGACCTGGAACGGACACTGGGTCACCATTAGGTCGACTCATACAATGCTACAAAGATAGGTTCATTCGATTGAATACTGCATGCTTAGTTGAAAAAAGGTCCAGCATGAGAAGTCCATTAGTGCATTAGCCTCCGAGGAACGAAGAACATCTAAAAGAAACCCCTTGATATTCTTTTACATATGTTTGTGAGGATAAAAACAAACATATTTACATTTTCCATAGTAACGTGCGTCGAGGCTGGGACGATTATTTAGTTATTTCTATAAAGGGAGGTGGGCCATTTCTCGGCATCCCCATGGTAACTACTCACCCAGCGGCTCCTTGGGCGGTATGCGCGCCTGCAGGAAGCTGAGCCAGAACACCACCTGCTGGAGCTGCACATGCGGCGGGTCGTTGAGCCGGTACACCACCAGGTGGATGCAGTTAGTATTTCCGATGAAGTGGTCGTAGAAGATGTAGTAGCTGTCGTGGCCCGAGAAGTCCCAGACGGAGACGTCGCCCACTCCGCTCAGGGTTGACTGCGGACGCAAGGGTGGGGTCCTGGGGGTTAGACGATGGGTGGAGTCGCGGGGTTACAGTAAGAGAGGAGCCACGGAGTTAGTTGATAGCTGGAGTCACGGAGGGTAGGAGGGGTCACTGAAGGTTAGTCGATGGGTGGGGTCGCGGAGGGTTAGGTGATGAGTGGGGCCACGACTCCACCGAGCCCAGCCGCTGCTTCCACACATTGTCTGGGGAACAAAGGGAGGCGGTACCTTATCACAGCGGGACACGGCTGCCGTTCTATCCTTACATAGATGGATGGTGAGTTTTTGTACTGCACGGAGAAAGATGAATGCCGGGGGATTAGACCGCTGAAATATTACCCTGTCCAGGCCTTAGATGGGGACCGCTGGAGCAGCTGCGAATGAAGACCATTTGTTATCGAGGTTATAACCTGCGGTGAAATATAGGCAATTTAGACAGAAACGGGCGTTGTTCGCATCATGGGTGACCAAGTGAAATATAGCATTACCATGTATGAATGCGTAATTTTAAGCAGATATAACTCGAGCATGTTCAATCGCCAATTGCCAAGCAATAGTCATGTTTAGGTGAGCCTTTCAATGCAAAATGAGTGACCTCTGTTCAATATGCGCCCCTGCAATGTACTGCTACGACGCTCCAGGGCACTGGACAGGTCCAAGAGGTTAGGACTTCGGAGACTGGAGAGTCAAGTACGCTGAGAATAACGCCAAAGGGGATACTGCAACAACTTCAACTACATTCACATGACTCACGGTATCACCGAAACGGCGTCTCAACTGCCCCATCGGCTTTAAATAAATCACAGCAGTTCGCTAGCTACTTACCACTTTACCGGTATGTTAGTAATGAAATATACTCCTGTTAAGAAAAACAGGAAAGTAAAGCGGAAGCGACCTTACCTTGCCATGATGAACATCGACCGAATGTCGTGGCCAGGTTCAACAACTCACTCAAACCAAAACCAAACTATCCACCTGCATATTCTCTTATTCTTATTCTCTGAAACTGCGATGGGAGGGACCAGCTCGCTACAATGGCACCCCACACGGGCACTCCACGGGGATCAGAAGCGGCTCTGAACTGGCTCTGTGAACCTACCTGGGTGTGTCGAACCTCGCCCAGACAGCAGTCGCGGTACGGAGATGTCTGGGGGCGCCCGATCAGTGTTATGAAGGGCCCACACCGGACGGATGTGGAAAAGAGACTTGTGTGTGTTTCAGGACAGTGTCGATATACAGACAGATGGTGATATGTTCAGAAACAGAAAACGTTAGAAGACGATGAAACAAGACAAATTATGTAATACAATGTGTTTGGGTTGTTTTATTTACACGTGCGTGAAAAGTGCGCTGGTTGAAAATAAACACATAAATATGATACAGTGCAGTGATTAGGGGACGCTTATCATGCAATTATTCAGTGTTGGGATGTGATGACGTCATTATATCCTTGCGATGACGTCACTAGACTTACCCTGGTGACGTCAATGCCGCGCGTGTAGTTGTCGTATCCGGTGTCGAACGACAGGGAGCTGCTGTCCCGCGAACGGGTCGGCGTCAGCTCCATGTGGGACCGGCTCGACGAATGGGCTGCTGTAATGAGCGGCCGGCGGGGCGGGGAATTAGCTCACGAAATAGCGGAAGAAAAGAGATAAGACAACGACATCACAAACTTGACCATCGTGGCAACAACACATCCTAAACTGCCGCTAGAAAGATCTTTCCCGAGCGCGAGGTTGTCGGACCGGAGCCAGACCGGCGTAAGTTTACAAGACTCCCGCTAGATGTCACTAGTAGTGAGCTCCTGAATGTAGGCTGTGCCGCAGTACAGCACCTAGTTCCTGCGGGGACCGCGCGGGGAGTGAAAGAGGGAGAGAGGAAGACAGGGGGAGAGGAAGACAGGGGGAGAGGAAGACAGGGAGAGAGGAAGACAGGGAGAGAGGAAGACAGGGAGAGAGGAAGAGAGCGAGAGAGAGAGAGAGAGAGAGAGAGAGAGAGAGAGAGAGAGAGAGAGAGAGAGAGAGAGAGAGAGAGAGAGAGAGAGAGAGAGAGAGAGAGAGAGAGAGAGAGAGAGCACCTATCCGTGCTTCTATCCTCAGGATACTGAAATCCTTCTCCTCCAAGCCGCAACCCCCCTCCGGGCTGGACAGGCAGCTTTATCTCATGCGGGCTGCTCCCTTGGAGCGGCACCGCTGCTCCTGAGGGAGCACACCCCGTAGCCGGGTGCAGTGAGTGCCTTGGGGCTGGGTGGCCTGTCCTCTGGACGGGCTCAGCCCCGGCGACTCACTAGGGTGCCTGCCCAGACCAATGTCTCCCCCTAATTCCTATCATCCTTCCGGCTCTGCAATGGTCTTGTCGACCGAAAGGGCCTAACCCAACAAAACAAACAAAAACAAACAAAGAGAGAGAGAGAGAGAGAGAGAGAGAGAGAGAGAGAGAGAGAGAGAGAGAGAGAGAGAGAGAGAGAGAGAGAGAGAGAGAGAGAGAGAGAGAGAGAGAGAGAGAGAGAGAGAGAGAGAGAGAGAGAGAGAGAGAGAGAGAGAGAGAGGGAGGGAGGGAGGGAGGAAGAGAGAGAGAGAGAGAGATTTTGTTATGATCAAGCCATTCCGAGGGAAATAATTACGTCCATTATTGTGAATATAACACAAATACAGCTATGTAATGAGTCGGACCAATTACCATGAAACGAATGCGAAGGCATTTATGCCCCATGTTATGCGTCACTCACAGATGGTTTGTTCGGGTTTTCACCTTTACATCGGCACTCACATTTTTGGCTGCCGATGCTGCCAATGCTGCCACTCTTGCTGCGTTTGAAGAAGCTCGAGAAGTATCCAGTCTTCATTGACTCGACCAGCGTGGTCTTGCCGACGCCGGAATGGCCGAACAGCTTCAGTTTCACGCGAGAGATCGGGTTAGACGTGGGGATCAGCTGGTTGATGTACTCCTCCCGAAGATCCGCCTGAAGGAGGGATTAGTTTCGCGTTAGATACAGCCACTGGTGTGGATCGAATCACTTCTATCGCGGTGAGAATGGTGCAAACCAGCAATACCAAAAAAAGCTTGAACGTAGCACGGATCCAGCACGGTTCGTGGGAGGGTCGAGGACCGGTTGATAAAAGGGACGATCGGTATCTACTGGCTACACTAGGATTGAAGGAATTCTATGTCAACGCTGAAAAGTTCGCTATTTGGTAACTATAACTGAAATAATTTACCGATAAATTACATGAAAGCCATCACATCATTGAAAAATCTCGATCACCATGACACATCTATCAACACATGAGCAATCAGCTGCGTGGCCTGTCTATTTCCTGTCGTCCCTACATCCCCATCAAATCATCCTCTGCCAGAGCTGTCAGTACCAGCTCGTGGGCGTCATGTGCAGCTGTGCACCTCTCCCGTCCACGCGCGGGGCCAGTATCGCCGGAATAATAGGGTTCATCCTCATTCGCAGTCCATCACAGCCTGGCCGGCAGTAACCAGGATATTGGCACTCGGGCAGAGAGAGCGAGAGGGTCGGTCAGCGCAGTCACTGCGACGGGGGTGGCTGCCGGTATCGCGGAGTGTTGGAGACAGGAGAGGAGTGGCTGGGAAAAGGGAATGGAGGGCGGGTCTGTGTTAGATGCACGGCTGAGAATAAGAAATTATGCAGGCCTGAGCATGAGAAATATGAGGGTCGATATTTGCTATAATTACGTAGGGGGTAAAAAGGATGTGCGGGCCGGAGATTAGCCTCAGTTTTAATGAGAGGAAGGAGGATTGCGGTGCGCGCTCACGTTATTGAGACGCGACAGAAGGCAGCTGATGTCGTTGTGGCCGTGCTTGATGGCCGTAATCTCGGCCTTAATGCCGTCTCGATTCCGCTGGTCGATCGTGCAGCCCGCCAGACATAGAATCCTGAAACGGAATGCGGGTTTGACCAATAACGTTCCTGACACAGGATCCTGTAACGGAAAATACGGGATCAGAATCGCAGGTTCCGAAAATACGGACAAAACTTATGCGTCAATGACAAGGTCTCATGACAGTTATTCGCCATAAGATCCAAAAAAGTACAAAACCGGCTCAAGTCATGAAGAGAACTAAAAAGTTTATAACACAATTGTATCATGAAGACATTACGGGTCATTTAAAATTAAGAAACTGTATCAGACTAACAAGCCACTTAAATAGCAGTCTCTCACAAAAATAGTGTGTCTTTCTTACCGGACCACCTCGGTGTGCCCGTGTTTGGCCGCCAGGTGGATGGGATAGAGTCCCTCCTTGTTCATCACATCTACAGCGCAGCCGTACGCGCACAGAGTCTGCGCCAACGAGAGGAGACCAGCGGCGGCCGCCAGATGGATCGGAGTTTCACCCAGCTGGAACGAACGGAAGGCGAGAGAAGGGTTAGAGATGAGTGGTGAGCCCGATACGGTGCTGCAGACCGCTTGAGAGGGAATAGAATAGTATCAGCAGGAGTTCTCATTTGCCGGACATCGTAGTACCTACATGTAATTCATCTTCATTGAAATAACCACTAGTGAAGAATGAAGAAGTCGTGTGTTTGACACACGTGGCTTGACTTCTTTTGAATTACTCTGGCGTTCTAAATGGCACACATATCGCACCCGGCGGGCAATGTAAGTAATGTATCATTGTATAAGGACAGCCAGCATGGAACGCGGATGACCAGGAAGCTACTATGTATTTCAGACCCCATGAGACCCTGTTTTTCGGCGATAATTTCTTCAGTTTTTGTCTAATTGGTTTGAAATTTTGACATTAGACATTTCAGCTCAAGCGCCAATTTTCATCAATATGGTCTCTTAACAAAATGTTAATATTTAGAGCACTTGTCATAGGCTCGTAATGCTAATTAGATTTTGCACCCGGATAGAGGCTCGTTCGCTACCGCAGCGGATTGGATGGGAGCGCTGGCCAATCACGTTGCGCCGGGCCCAACTAAACTCCGCCCACTGGCCGTGACCGCGCTGGGTCTATGCCGGCTCAGTCGGCGGCAGCACCGCGGAGAGGTCGCACGGGGCCGCGCACTGGAAACATACATGGAATCGACAGGAAGTGTCTGAGCGAAAGGCTGCTCTTCGTCTCGGGGAGTTGGTAACCGCTTCTCTGTTTTTGATATATCAACACCGATCCAGCTCAGAATATGAAGAATAATCATAATGAGGATATTAACCTCCCCAGAACCAACTTTAGATAGAAAGCTGAGATATGCACTATCTGAATATCTGAATGAATGTACATTCTGGCGCCTATCTCATGGTCAGGTCGTGCCATTATTATGTCACCTATGACAATATGGGAGGCCTCTGCACTACTCGAAAATATCGATATTGGTTGGCTGCGTCAATCGCTGTTTCTGAAGACGCTTTTATACCATACCTATGCAGAAAACAACAGAGCAGGATGATGAGTCGCGAGCACTTCCGATTGCCTAAGACATCGCTCAACGAGCTGTGTTCGTAATTCGGAAAGCGTTGAGAAAGGAGCAGCAATGTGATGTGCGATTTATTGCGTGGTAGAAATGTGACAGAATATGGGAAACAAGCGCAAACGCTAGTAAAGAAATCGCGTCTTTTTGTGAACCTAAAGTAACTTTTCAAGCTCTCCAATAGTGAGGCAGTAGGTTACTTACTTACAGGTATTTTAATTATTTGCAGTTCAACACGACAGCCTAGGGTCAAGTCAGTTCGGTGACCTCAATCTAGCCAATTATAAAAAGGGTTAGTTCCGAAGGTGTTCATGTTGCACCGCAATCGCATGAATCCATCTCAAGCGTACGCATAAGCATAATATATCTCATATTGCAACCACACTTCTTAAATGCTACGGTGTAAATGTTTATTATGTCTTGCAAATTTGACGTAGGCTGACCGACTTCTTGCATCAGTTCAGTCAATTGACATCAACGGCTTTTTTAATGACGTTCAATCAAGCAAAAATGCATTCACTAGCCCTGAACTTAGTATTAAAGTAGGTATATCTTTATTGATTGACATGGTGTAGGCTAATTTGCGATAAATACAATAATGAAGGCTAGTGCGCTAATTACGAGCGCTAGTTTCTGCTGTATCGTTAGCACTGCAACGGTAACCGCAAGGCAGCCACGTCCAATGCGAGCCGCCCCGGTCCGGCATACGGCCTTGGGTCCGGCAGCTACTGCCCCGTCGGCTCCACGCATCCGACTGACCGGCCAAGGTCACCGCTCCGTTCGCCGGGAGGGCGGAGCTTAATGGTCACGTGCCTGTGACGTCACGCCTACGTACGGATAGCCTCTACTCGACTGACGAATTTACGGAGCTGATTTTAACATTACGAGGCAACGACAAGTACCCTAACAATTGATATTTTGTTAAAAGACCATATTAGCGAAAATTGGCGCTTGAGCTGAAATGTGCTTTGCGAAAATTTGAAGCCAATTGGATAAATATTAAATAAATTATCGCCGAAAAACAGGGTCTCATGGGGTCTGAAATGCATAGTAGGTGTCAGCTGAGTAATGCTGAATGCAATATCAAGGATCTAGCCAGTTAAAGATAGGCCCCATGTAATAGTCCATTAGAGTAAGTGGAAACATTTGGATGCCAGCAGGACCTGCAAAAGTTCTCGATTACCATGGAGCCCACTCTGTTCCGCGTCTTGACTTTAATGCGATTCCCACATGAGATGGCACTGCTGAAATATTCCTCTCCAAGACGGAGCGGTGGGAGCGACGGCGTCGAGAGACAGCGGTGTTCCGGGTTTCGACGCTAAACTGAGCGACACGAGGCCGTCAAGTTTCGGCAAACTATATGTGACACACTGTCCTCGGCGACAGGCGAGGTGGACGACGGTTTCAGCTCACGGAGACACGCGACGTGCTCACGAGACAAATGCCAACATTCAAATACCTGTCGGCATTTGTATGACTTTCAGGTTCTATTTCAAAGAAGGAATGCAATTATACTATAATAGAAAGTGATGTTCCATGGTTATTGGCTAACTTTGCTTAGCCTCCTGGCAGGAATAGCGTGCTTTGCACGCTATTCCTTTGTTTGAAAGGCCTACTTACGTCTTTATGGCTATCTTTATACCGAACTAAATGATTAATTGAAACCATTGAAAAGCTGCTGAAACCGAAGTAATGCGCATACCTTAGGTGCCATCTCTTGAGCTTATTAACTACCGCAACATTTCTGGCCAAAGCAGCCTTATGCAACCTAAGCTAATGAGGGAGAAAGCTCTCCCATGCCCGACTAGTCAATTCCATGGATTCCACTCGGAAAAAAAGACTGTATCCAGGGGCACGTATACGGAGCAGACCAGTCAACCATCGTGGTTCCAATTAGCCGCCATTATCACGGTGATCCTGCGCAGCTGGTGGTTCCAGGAGCCGGCGAGCGACCGCCGACCGCACACAACCCGGATATAATCAGGGGTCGGTGCGCCGTGCGGTCGGCTCAAAATACACTACTGCTGCCCGGCCGCTAACGGAAACTATGTGTCGTCGGATCCCTGCAGCACAGTGACTGTGGCAGGACCACTGATCCCGTTCAGGACTGTAATAAAGTCGTCCACGGAGCCCCTGCGACGGCCCAGTCATATGACAGCATTACACAGCTCTGTCGAACAATTCAGCGCCGGCGCCGGCAGCCAGATATACTTAATCGGCCATTTTTCCATGACATACGTTTCCAATTTCCTCGGCAGTATGACCCGCATGAGCGGAGGCCGCCACATGGTGTCACAGCTGCGGGTCATGTCACTGATAGCCCGACCCTCCCTCAATCTGACGGCTCAGCTCAGACAGTCCCGACCCCTTCCCCTCCACGGCAAGCCAATATCCGACAGTGCAGCACCTCTCACCCTTCAGGGCAGCCCGTCCGCATCAGACAGTCTTCTCCCTCCCCACCCGACGGCCTATCTCAGACAGTCCCGCACCCCCTCAGTGGCCAGTCTCAGACAGTTCTGCCCCAGTTGTGTCTCAGTCTCCCCACTACTCACGTGGTCAGCCAGGTCGCAGTCGGCGCCTGCCTGTAGCAGCAGGTGGGCTACATGCACGTGGCGCCGGTGGAGCGCCAGGTGCAGTGCCGTCGCACCGCGCCGGTCAGGGATGTCCAGTGTAGCGCCGGCGTCCAGAAGACAACGCACTGCCTCCAGGTGGCCCCGAGCAGCCGCACAGTGCAGCGGCGTCTCGTGCTCCTGATCGGGTCAGAGGTTATGTTGAGTCAGAGGGGAGTAACATCACAGGTCAGAGTAAAGTCACAGAGGCGGTAGCTAGGCAACAGAGGTCAGAGTAAGGTCACAGGGGTCATAGGTATGTGGGTCAGTCATAGGCGTAGGAACAGGGGGGGCCAGGTGGGCAAGTGCCCACCCACTTTTCGAGGTGGGGGGGCCAACCATGTGTTTTGGCCCACCCACTTTTTACTCGAGGCCCCTCGTCTCGATTTGAGAGGACGTCGTCACCTTCCAGAATAAACAAACTCGGTAAAAATAATTTCCACGAATCCCCACGCACGGACTCCAAGGGGCCGTGATGGATCCAAGGAGGCCCTCTGTTCATACTTGTCAGTCGAAGCCCCTGAGACTGATGGCCTGAGAGGCGCTAGTGGATCTGAGGAGGCCCCAATTTCCACACTGGTCTGGGGAGGCCCCTGACACTGGCGGTCTGGGAGGCCCCTCTATCACCACTTGTCAGAGGTCTGAGACTGGTGGTCTGGGAGGCCCCTCCATCCACACTAGTCAGAATAAATTTAGGCCCCTGACACTGGCGGTCTAGCCGAGGCCCCCTACCCTCACTAGTCAGAGGAGGTCCCTCTATCCTCAATAGTCATAAGAGGCCCCTGAGACTGATGGTCTGGGAGGCCTATCCATCTACACAGTAGTCAGAGGAGGCCCCTGAGACTGATGACCTGAGAGGCCCTTATAATCACACCAGGCAGAAGAGGCCCATGATACTGATGGACTGAGAGGCCCTTCTATTTATACTGGCCACAGGAGACCCCCAAAACTTTCGGTCTGGGAGGTCCCTCAATCCGGCACCAGTCAGAAGAGTCCCCTGAGACTGATGGCCTGGGAAGCCCTTATATTCACACTAGGCAGAAGAGGCCCCTGAGACTGATGGTATGAGAGGCCCTCATATTCACACCAGTCAGAAGAGGCCCCCGAGGCTGATGGCTGTGAGGCCCTTCTGTTCATATAACTGGCCACTGGAGGCCTCTGAAACCGGTGGTCTGGGAGGGCCCTCTATCCACACTAGTCAGAAGAGGCCCCTGAGACCGATGGTCTGAGAGGCTCTTATATTCATACTGGCCACAAGAGGCCCCTGAGACTGATAGTCAGAGAGGTCCACTCCTAATGAATCTGAGGGGGCCCTCTATCCACATTTACACTTTTCTAGGGAGGCCCCCGAGACTGATTGTCTGAGAGGCCCTTTTATATATACTGTCCACAGGAGCCCCCTGAGATTAATGGTCTGAGAGGCTCTTCTATTTATTTTATACTAACCAGAGGAGGCCCCTAGGATTGATGGTCTAACAGGCCCTTCTATTTATACTAGCCAGAGGAGGCCCATGAGACTGATGGTCTGAGAGGCCCTTCTATTCAAACTAGGCAGATGAGGCCCCTGAGAATGATAGTCCGAAGAGCCATGCGGCGGCAACTGACCGTGGCCATATTTCGGCTCGGTAGGGCCCCACAGAGCTCATGAGAGCACCTCAAGGGCTCCTAAGTAGACACGCTTATCCCCACGTGCCACGCCGGCTTCTGAAGGCTCCTTGTAGGCATCTAAGGGCCCTTTCCGGCCTTTAACCCTCGCCGGCACAGGCCATTTTGCGTCCTTCGACGGCACAAGGGGGGGGGGGTTGGTACGACCCCCCTCGCGTTTGGCCCCTGATCGAGCTAGAGCTTCGCGGAAAAAACGAGCGTGTTGCCCGTCACGAGACGAAGCCGATGATACCCAATTTTAAGGTCCTAGGTCATCGGGTGACCTTCCAGGTCAGGTCAATGACCCGAAAACCGGAAAAATCGGGACCTGTTAGAAAGTCGTAAATTGAGGCTGCTATGTGGTTTTCCGGGGTGCTGATCACGAATATCGTGTTAGTTTTGATCAGAGATGATGTCTTTAAGCATTTAGACCAGGTCGGGTCAGGTCAGGTCAGGTCAACCGGTAGGGGTTGTGACGGGTATTCGTAATACGTGTCAACCGCCTCTGACAGCTTCGTAACATGTTACGAAGGCACCAAAACTACTTCGTAAATGTTCAAATGGTTGCAAAATTCGAATTCAGCTCCAAAAACTAGCCTAGAAACATGTAAAACTCGAAAAAGTGAACCGAGGTCACCCGAGGTCACCAAAGGTCAATGACCTGACCTGACCTTCAGGTGACCTTGAAACCCACCCTAATGTATGGGAGTGGCATCAAATCACATGTTTGAACGTTTGAAACCACAAAAAGCTTGCAAACGCGCGGCTAATGTTAGCCGACATACGCCGAATCGCGATTCCGGCCAAACATGGTCTCGGAAAAGAGGTCACAGGTCAAAGGTCATTGGGGTCAGGGTCATGAAATTTTCAGGGTAGGTGTAAAATTGATCAATGCGAGGGTAATGAAAGTTTCCTCGCGATCGGCCGCTTTTTACGCGAGTTTTTCGCGAAAAACCTTAGGGGGGTTGCATCACCCCCCCCCCTGTGCCGGCGAGGGCTAACGGCTCCACTCGCCTGTGATGGCTCCACACCAGTGTTTATGAGCGCCACACAGCGGCGCCTTTGAGGGTCATACTAGTGTCTCTTAGGGCCCTATATCGGTGGCTCTGGGGGCCCCACACCGGCGCCTCTGTGGGCCACCACACCTGTGCATCTCAAGGCTCTATAGGTACATCTGAAGGACCCACACCGACACCTCTGAGGGCCCCAGACCAGTATCTCGGAGCTCGGAAGGCCCCACACCGGTGACTCTGAGGACTCACCGGCTCCTGAGAGCACCATGTTGATGTCTAACGGCTCCACAAGGCCACTGAAGGCACCACACAAGCTCTCACTGAGCTCTTATGTCCATGTACCGGCCTCTGAGGGATTTAAGCCAGCGCATTCATAGCTCCACACCAGCAATTGTAAGGGCTTCACACTGAAGTATCTGAGGGTTCCACACCGGTGTCTCTAAGGGCCACATACCGGCACCTCTGAGGGCCCATACCGGCATCTCTGAGGGCCCCATACCGGCGTCTCCGAGGGTCCACATCTGGCGGGCACCCATCAGCGACTGAAGGTCCCACACTGTCGACTCCGAGAGCCCCATCTGCGTCTGCGAGCAACATGCCGTCTCTAAGAACCACAGCGGCTCCTCCGTACGAAAGATGGGCGTCTCCATGCCAAAGGGGAGCGGTTCTGAGACAGTAGGGCACCTACGTGCAATAGAGGGGTGCCTATGAAGCCCATAGGGGCGCCTCAATGCGAAAGAGGTGCGCCTCTGAGGCCTACATATATGGGCGTCCACATGCAATAGAGGTCTGCAAATTGCAATTGATCAATGCCATGGGGGTGCTTTCATAAGAAACAGGGGCGCCGGCATGGCAAAGAGAGGTGCCTTCAAGTGTCCATAAAAGAGAGACGCCTATGATAAGCGCACATTGTATGCGACAATGGGGCGACTGTGGGACATATAGGAATGTCTCTGATGACTATGCATAGGGCGCTTATATGCCAAAGAGGGCGCCTATGAAGCTAATGGGGGCACCTGGGAAACGAGGAAGACATTTGTGTAAGGGTTTTCAGGGGTCATGCGCCGTTTGCGGCAAATACATTCTAAAAAAAAATCGGAGGGGAACAAGTTTTAAAAATGGTGCGGACTTTCTGCACTATTCGCTTAAGCGGTTACGCCCCTGGGTACATCTGCCCAATCTCAGAAGCTAGATTTGGAGGTCATACTTGAAAGCAGCCAGCAGGACGAGGCAAAAGTTGGAGGCCCCTGAAAATAGGAGGCCCCCTGGAAAAGGAGGCCCCTTGACAGGGTGGCCCACCCACTTTTCATGACGTTCCTACGCCCGTGGGTCAGATGTCTGAGTAAAGCCACAAATCAAAGTAGCGCCACTAAGCTCAAAGTTAAGTCCATGGGTCACGTTTACGTCAGAGGTTGCAATTGACAGGGGGAATGTGAAATTAGCAAAACCAAGAACGCAAACATGAGTAAGGTCGTCACAAGTCGCAATTACCGCGTTCCGTTAGCAAAGCTGGCGCATACTCATCTCGCCCGGTTGGAGATGACATTTAAACTGTAAGTTCTGAGTAAGCCTTTATTGCCGGTAAAAGCCTAAAGTGAATGACAAATGCGGCGAGTACATTTATCTAGTCGAGCCTATAATTTCAGCCTTAGGTCGGTAGCGTTTCTTCAGCTTCCATTTAGCCTGACTCCGAAACATGCCAGCCCTTTCTACCGTCACTCGCATGATTTTGTACCGTCTGTTGCTAACTGCGGAAGTATACATACCTACTCTCAGACCACATGACTACATGCTCGTATGCCTTTAGATCATATAAGCAAACACGAGCGGCGTTAACGATGACAAATTACACTATGCAACAGTCATTTTGTTCCTGAGTAACGACCGATTTTTTTTGGACTCATTGGGTCTCATTATAACCGAAATGGGCATTTGTTTTGAGCTGAAAATGTTTTTCCGGTTTTCAGAGACGATTTTCGATTTTTGGCCCCGAAATTCGGTTTTTGGCCCACTGTGTCCGGTGTAATTGAGTAATCGACTCGCGGTAACTTTCATCGCCCTTCCTATGCCACAAGCTTTCGAATGATATCCGGTTTTGCATATTTGCGTGTAAAAATAACGTCATAAATCTATGTTAAAGTAAGAAAATATTGAAATTTTGTAAAAATTTGACATTTTTTTCGATTTCATTTCAAAATAGAGAAAAAACTAAAGGCCCTATCCAAATTCTAAGCCCAGTTCCTTGAAGAGCATTCAATTTCCGTTCGGAAGGTACTATTTTAGTGCATTTTATCGGTTTACTGTGGCGTCCAGATTGAGTCACTTGAAAAACGGGCCCCCAGCCATTTCCATGACAATATGTGTTCAGTGCATGAAGAATCATTCTAACAAATGGAGGTACAGATCAAGATTCTGAGCGACAGGACTGCTCAAAAGTAAGTTCCTGCGTGTGACCCGAGGTCACAAGGGGTCAACAACATGACCTCAGTTGACCCCTCGTTGATCCTATGGCGTTAACATACGTTATCAGGTTAATGCTATGTGATATGACTTAGGATATGTGTTTAGGTTAACTCAATCTGGACGCCACAGGAATCCGATAAAATGCACTAAAAAGGTACCTTCCGAACGGAAATTGAATGCTCTTCAAGGAACTGGGCTCAGAATTTGGATAGGGCCTTAAGTTTTTCCTCTATTATGAAATGAAATCGAAAAAAATGTCAAATTTTTACCAAATTTCAACATTTTCTTACTTTAACATAGATTTATGACGTTATTTTTGCACGCAAATATGCAAAAACAGATATCATTCGAAAGCTTGTGGCATAGGAAAGGCGATGAAAGTTACCGCGAGTCGATTACTTAATTACATCGGACACGCGGTGGGTCAAAAACCGAATTTCGGGGCCAAAAATCGAAAATCGTCTCTGAAAACCGGAAAAGCATTTTCAGATCAAAACAAATGCCCATTTCGGTTATAATAGGACCCAATGAATAGGAAAAATTCGGTCGCTTTCCAGGAACAGAAAATGTTTCATTTTTTGTTGCATAGTGTTATGCACCTTTCACAGCACAGAAACTGCCTTTATGTATTCTAAAGATTTGAGCTTTTCCACATTTTTATCTCCAGATGTTGCCGAAGCGTCATTATTCTTTTCCTCAGGTTAATAGATCTATAAAAAGTTAATTGTTTTCAAAACGGGCTTCTCTGAGGAAAACTAAATATTATAACCAGTAAAACGCCTTTTGGGCGAAGAACGAGCGAGCGAGATAGTGAGCCCTGCACGTGCAGAAGGGCGAGAGGGCACTTCCAACGGGCTTGTGCAAAGCACCCTTCTAACCGGTCGCTAGCGGTGTACCAAATTTGAACGCAATCGGCCCAGCCGTTCCTGAGATCTGGAAGCGGGATTCTGCACGTGCGCACGTGCAAACGGGATCCAAAATGACTTTTGCACGGCACCCTACTAACCGGTCCCCAACCGTGTACCAAATTTGAGCGCAATCGGCCCAGCCGTTCTCGAGATCTGGAAACGCCCCCTGCACGTGCGCACGTGCAGTAGCACCCTAACCGCAACACATGGGAATGCATTGCCAGGTGGGTGCCTACCAGTATGCCAAGTTTCAGCGAAATCGCCCCAGTAATTACCGAGTTACTGAAATGGGAACAAATTTGGCACCTCTTATTGTTGTATTTTGCACGTGCAGTGGGGGTCACTCACATAGATGAAGAGTATCCGACCTTTGGTAGAAGGGATGCAGCTACCCTATAAAAATGACCGCAAGACAATCGCTCAAGCCGCTGCTGAGATACGGGCCTCTCAAAATCATTACTTTTGCAAAACTGCTTGAACACCCTTGACTCTTCACGTGGCACGTGCCACGGCGGTCACTGAGATGTATCAAAAGTAGTCAATTACGGGTTAGAAGGGATGGGGCTACCCAGCAAAAAAGACCGCAGGCCATTCGGTCCAGCGGTTGCTGAGATATAAGCCTCTCAAAAGCGTTACAGGCCGGGCCGGGCCGGGCCGCTCATACTGAGATTTTTCCGTTATATTGAAACGACTTCGCTTCGCTCGCTGCGCTCGCTCGCTCGTAACCAAATATTTCGGCTTTATTGATCAGCCTAAACCAGTGAACAAGGCTGATCAATAAAGCCGAAATATTTGGTTATAATATTTAGTTTTCCTCAGCGAAGCCCGTTTTGAAAACAATTAACTTTTTATAAATTGTTATCTCATCAAGTGTGACTTGAGCTGTCCATTGTCAAATTCATCTCCGCAGCTAGACAATGCAGTTGCTTTAACCCTCGCCCATGTAGGGGGGGGGGGTTGGTGCACCCCCCTGAGGTTTTTCTTAGCTACACGCCGAACCGTTTCAGATAGCCTGCTCAAATTTTCAGTACCCTATGAGGCATCCTTTGCGCAACTTTTGGTATTTTTTTGTCAAGGTCATGTCAGGTCACGGAGTTATGACGTCATAAAGGGAACAACCTCCGGCCAGATTTACGCTAAATTGGAGATTGCTTCACATTGGTATAAATGCCGACTGACCTGACACACTGATGGATTGTTTTAGAATCATAACTGGCTGAATTGACATTGGCACAATGTCCGTTGACCTTTTCAAGGTTACTTAAGGTCAAGGTCAGGTCAGTGACCTCAGTTGACCTGTAATGACTTCTTGCACTTGTATGCCTTTTCGGGGTATTTTGATGCCCTGAATTCGAATTTGCTATCCATTTCAGGCATCGTCGGTTGTTTCTTGTAGTTCATTTTGGGTCAGGGTCAGGTCAGTGACGTCACACGCCTGACGTGACCCAATGCACAAATGACCTTGCAGACTTCCGATGCTCCCAACGCATCATTTTTAGAGTTATGACATCGAAATACACACCAAACGATAGAGAATTGATCAAGGATCACGATAGTGAAGATTTTAAGTCGATATCTCTTACCGTGTTGCCGCAATCGGCGCGGAAATATGAAAAAGTTAGATTTTCCGAAAATTTGACCTTTGACCGGTCATAAGTAGGTCAAATGTTGACCTAGGACCAAAAAATATACCACCAATCGCGAGATCTCGTTGAGAGCAATCCGTTGGCCTTTTCCGCTAAGCTCTACGACGCTCCGTTTTCAAACGCCAGGGGGGGTCGCACCAACCCCCCTCCCCCTGCATGGGCGAAGGTGGCAAAACACCGTTTACGGGCGAGGGTTAAAGGGACCCTCACACCTTCAAAAAAGTTAATGAATTGGCATGAAAGTGATGTCGCTCGGTTCAGAAAGAGCAAAAACGAATATCTACCAAATTTCATCGGAAAATATTCACCGGTTTTCAAGATATTAGACTTCTACTTTTGTTTACTTTTTGGGATCTCCGCTGTTCCTAGCAACTTTATTTGAAAGTGCGGCATTTGTTGCGCGCAAAGCAGCATATACCACCGCGTGCTACAAAACGTTTTAGTCAAACATTTAAAAATCGTTAGATATCTGCGCTGACGTCACACATTCAGAGGGGTATTCCTATGCATTAGCCCCTCTGAATCAAAATGCTGCAATTTTGAAATTCAATATTTCCGATTTAAGGCATTTCTCGATGTTGTGAGTGCCGAAACCGGTAATTGTGAGCCAGGGACCCCATTTTGGCTATCTCAACTCAAATCTAATGTTAAGGTGGGAGGGTCCCTTTAACTCGAATAGTTTGTTTGATTGAGTTCGATTCGTTGCCGACTGCCGAGTCCAAAGCAGGTACTTGTATTTCCTTGAGTGCTTCCTGTTTCATAAGTGCTAGGGTAAGGACGATTACAATTTACAAGCACGTCCGTTCGCTCTAATCACTCTGAAAAAGTCGATGCCGATTAACATTTCCGCAAACGCCAACCAAATGTCAGCCTATAAATTAAAGTTAGCTTGTTCACACTGCAATAGCCTGGCATCAGTGGCACTCTAAACTCCAAAGCACCGTTCGGCACGGTTCAAAACGCTGATTTAATGCGACTTGATTTCACTCCTCGGTCAGAAATCGCCCACTTTTCGTGCTGAAAGTGTCCCTCCTATTGACAACATTATCCGGTTAAAGTGCACCAGAGCCACTCGGTATTCGGTGTGAGCAGAGCTGCGTTCCATTGGGAGACGTTGGCGTGCTCAAAACGACGCCACACGAATACCGGTGGGGGCTGGAATAAACTGGACTGCGACGTAAGCAAACTGGGTGGGAGCTTGGCTACTCGGTAAACAGAAAACGGGCAGCGAAGCCCGCGTGAGAGAGCCACTTAAATGTTCATCGCCGGTCGTATAGTTTGTAGATGGCTGCATTAAAAATATTTTAACTTTTTACAATAAAAAATTGGTAACGGAATAAAGTGCATGTCCCCGGACTGATGACCTATTCAGTCGGCGCCGTCCCGTCGCTCTTTACGGTGATGATTGCATCGACCTTGTCCATTTCACGTCCAAGGGCGTATTAATGTGCCACTGGCTGCCCGAACATGCTCTCGGCTGCATTTACGGCCAGCGGTGAGTGGGACAGTTCACTCATTCAGTGCTGTCCTGTAGTGGGAAAGCGCACTCATTTAACCGTGTCCCGCAGTGGGACAGCTCATTCAGCCTCATCCCGTATGGTAGGATAGCCCACTCATACACAGCTCTGTCCCAAAGTGCGACACCCATGTTAGGCAAACATCACACACATGTCAGTAAGTCATGACTCGTGGCCTGCTTCCCCATTCACCCACTCCTCACACAGGCAACACACGACACAGCCATACCTGTTATCGACGCAGCTCCCCACCCTCCTCCCCGCACCCTGCAGCGCTTCATACTCACGAGGTTGACGACGTTCGGGTTGGCCTCGGCCAGACAGAGTAGATTGGCGATCACGGGGAAGCCATGCCAGACGGCCATATGCAGCGCCGTCTCCGCATGCTGCGCGGCCACGCACGCACACGCAGTGAGCAGAGGCGGTCAGCGGGCCAGGCCTCGTTCAGAGACGGAGCCGGTCTCAGTGAACGGCCGGGAGGGATTTAAAGTTCATCACGGTGGGCACTGAAGGCTCAGGGAGGAATCTAGGATAGGTGCTGAGATGGCGCTCTGAGAATCTCAGGGCGGATGTGGATGGCGACTGGCTTTACGGTGTCGTTCCTTTGACTTTCTACGCCACCGTTTTGGTTTGGTGAAATGTTCCCGGTGCGTTTAGGCTTTCATGACATTCTTTTCACCTCATTGCCTAGTCATGAGATTGTTCTCATTTGAGGTCCAACAATGTATAATTATTTAGCTAAAATGATGCCATTTAATTACATGGGATGATTGAAGCTTGATAGATTATTGGAATACGGATCGGCCGTTCACTGAGACTATGCAAACAAAGATAATAGAAAATAAAAGCACATCAAACCGAGCAAAATAAACGTAATAAAAATACCCTCATAGCCAGGCACTCATGCAAAAACTATTTGGAATAAAATTAACTGAAAATATAATATTAAAATATAATATATAAAAATATATAAAAAAAATATAATATATAAAATATAAAATATAATATTAAAATATAATAGGAACAGTAAAACAAAAAGAATGGACCACACAAAACTATAACAGGTCACACAACTCCAAAGGCTAAAAATAAACTTGGCTATGATTGTTCTAATGGTACTATAGGTAGTTATGAACTGACAACTCAGTTATGAAAAACGGCAGCACACTGCTAAAGCAAAGATACAACCGAGATGAGTTGTCATGAGAGCATGCCATGCATTAAACCACCTATCACTGAATGACCTTCAAAGATCACAGCAAGCCTATTCTGAGGATATCGATGCAAAAAAGCGAGGTGCCCAGCGGCGGGCCGATCTGAAGCACGAGTGCAGCCGGTCGCCACCAGATGGCAGTGTACTCACGTCGTCCTGGATGTCGAGGTTAGTGTGCGCCTCACAGAGTAGCTGTACCACGGCGGTGTGGCCGTACCGACAGGCCACGTGCAGAGGCGTCTCGCCGTTCTGACGACACGGAGAATAGGTGACGGTCAGTGGCGCAGGTTAGAAAAAATATAGGTTTTGATTAATCGATCGTTTTTTTTTTTTAAACAGAGAGATTTAAGATTGAGAAAGGTGATGTATTTTTTTTTTTGGTGTGTGGAATGCCTCCATTCCCTGTTTTACATCCTCAGGACAGACAAATCCTCCTCTACGCCTCTTTCCCCTGATCTAGGCTGGACGGGCAATATCATCCCATGCGAGATTGCCCGTATAAAGAGCACGCCCGGTGCTTGGGGGCTGGTCGGCCTGTCCTCTGGACGGGCTCAGCCCCGGCGACCCACCAGGGTGATCGCCCAGACCAAAATCTCCCCCTAATTCCTACCATCCTTCCGGCCCTGAAATGGTCTCGTCAGACCGAAAGGGCTTAACCCAACAAAACAAAACAAAGTGTGGGATGTTTTCAGAATCTGAGACAAAAATTGGTTGAGGGTGACACCTTATACCTATCTTTAGTCCAAAGGGGAGAACTGAAGCGAGACGGACGCTGCGGAGAAAGTTCTTTGACGATGTTGTCGCTCGTCCATGTTGTCTGAAGAGTGCAAGTAGGTTAGCACTATACCACATCTGCTGCTGCACGCGACAAGGTCTGTCGGTGTCAGTTCACTATTCTGCCGCGCTCTATTTGTTTAGACGTAGAAAACTTCCACGAGATGGCTGCTTGTCAGGCATCGTTAATTACGTCGTGAGGAAAGGTCATGTGCCTCATATATGACACCTCGCCTCAAACGGACAGCTCGTGACCTTCATATACAGAGACCGAGTGACCTTCATGTAGAGCCCAGGCTTGCGCAATTTCTAGTGCTGAATATCCGTGATGAGTTTTCCGAGAGATGCATGCGTGCACGGTAAGTGATCGGGCGGTTAGCCGTTAGGGTCAGACTGCTCGCGTACTTAGCGACAATGTTTTCGCTGTACGTCTAATGAGCGGGTACTAGCGCACATACTCGCTCGCTCGCTCGTCCCCCCTCTCTCTCTCTCTTCCTCCCTCCCTCCCTCCCTCCCTAAATCACTCCCTCACTCCCTCCCTCCCTCCCTCACTCCCTCACTCACTCACTCACTCACTCACTCACTCACTCACTCACTCACTCACTCACTCACTCACTCATTCACTCACTCACTCATTCACTCACTCACTCATTTTGTGTCGTACCAATCTTTTTAGAAGTCTGAAGGTAAACGATGTTTTTTAGAAACTGGGGCTGAAGACAAAACAGGTCTGTAATCCCTTATAGGTAAGTACGCACCTTGTTTCTGTTGTTGATGTGCACGCCCTCCTTGATCAGGTAGTTGAGCACGGCCGAGTGGCTGTGCCGAGCCGCCCAGAACGCCGTGTTGTCGCCGTTGCTGTCCGTCTGGTTCAGGTTAGCCCCCTTGGCACGCAGCACACGCACCACCTCCAGTTGACCGAGACCGGCCGCCACGTGAAGTGCAGTCTCGCCGTGCTGCCAACAGGTGGCGCCACGTTAGAGGTGACCAGATGACCTTGGGGCATATGGACACATTGGGCCGTTTAGTTGGTGTTTTATTTAAAAAAAGGCTGAAAAGTGTCAGCTGAAGGTGCTTTGTAGGCGGGAGGCATTTCGTCGTTTTGCTTTGCCGCAAGGTAGCAATAATATTTGGGCGAAGCTTTGGACTGAAAGCCACACAACTGCAGCTTTCGTGAAATATTGCGACCTGAAAGTTTGTCACTGCATAGCAGCAGTTACACAAAAGTTTGCCTCGTGTATCTCATTTGGTGTTATGCTTTTTGTTCAGATGCTTACGCAATATTGACAGAGGAGTCACCAGACGCCACGCACTGCACTATTTCTCCGGATTAGGCAAATACTAAATAATAGGCAATAGCGCAGTCCTGCTCGCTCAATCAAACCCTCGTGTGACCTTGACTTGACCCAGACTTAGCCAAACATCAGATTCAATTCTCCGAGTCTCGATCGATCCACTTTCATTTGAACAGTATCGCGATGGGGCCATTTTCCACCATACGACGTTCTTTACGGGCCGATCACCACACAATAAGCGCCTCGGTTTGGTATTCGGTCGGCACGCCAGTGCCCATATTGCTGTCCCGCGGCGGGAGAAATCACGGCTGCAAACTCAGCGATTCGGTCCACAGAATGTCAGAAGCTGACACTCAGTTATAGCGAGCGGCTTTCGGCCACGCTGCCGCGGGGAGCGGAATATCGCAGCCACGTGATGCAAAGCTCAATCGAGCCGTGAAAATGGCCAGTGTTGATATTGGACTCGATGAAAATCGCTCCACATTGATATTTATGGGTGCTCGTATTTGACAGCGACCTCATAAAACTGCATAATGTATGCCAGTATACACATAAATGTGCATATATCGTATGCGTTGCCCTACAGTTCAAGGTGACCTGTGGACCAGGGCACTGAAACATTGAAGTCATTTCTTCATATGATTACGTATGTACAACAACTGGAACCACCGACCCTGACTTTTAGCGTTCATTCGTGACGCGCGGTTCCCTGCGGGCGTGGCCGGTGTTTGTCGCTCCTTTGTGCGCACCCCGTTCAGTAATCGATCCAGCTAGCCGGCACCAACACCGCCTGTTGACACAACTATGCAGTGTGCACGGTGCCCGGTGAGTGGTGCAGTTCCGACCGGACCGGAGAGGCCAGAGGGGTGCCACTCCGCACCGGCTGCGACACCGAGCGCGGGAAACAGAACGGAACAGCAGAGTGAGGCGCGTTTTCATTGTGTCTGGATGACGCTTCCGTCCGCAAACATACACCAAACGGCTGCAGAGCGCCGAACAAGAATACTGTTTTCGAATCAAACAATAGCTCGCTTGACATCTGGCGTAAAAGTCAAAGTGCCAATTAATTGAAAATGTACTCATGCATCGGCTCTAGTTTGCTATAATAAATAGTAAATTTAATACCCATATCCCATTTCAAGACATCCTCGCGTCTGCTGCAGTGCCTATGCGCTATATCTTCTGCAGAACGCCAACTTGGCCGGTATTCGTGGGACAAGTTTGCGCGTTCAGTCGACAGTTTGGCCTCTGAGGAGACCGGTGACGGCGTCTCCGGCCGGTCGTAACAGTTTGGGGAGCGAGCGGCTGTCGCCTGCGGACCTCTCACGTCGCGTCGTGGCCGTCGCCGGCGGTGCTTTGCGGTTCACCGCTGCCGCCGCCGCTGGCAGACGTCGTTCTCACAGTCATACTGCCATGCCCGTCCCTTTGGACGGCCGCAGTCGAGCATAGCTGGGAGTCCAGCGGGCGGCAACTCGTGCTTGTAGCACGGGAACGTATGTATTGAAGTCTAACTGTGAGCATTGAAGAACGAAGAGTGCAAAGACCGCAGTCTGGACAGACGGAAGCTAAGTCCAGTTTGAATATTTATTCATATTGACGAAGTACGAAACGTCTTCAAGAGGTGTCATTTTTAATAGTTATTTGGTCTTTCAGCGCCTTGAATTGTTTCATCAATCATATACGAGCTAGGAACCGAAGCACACCGTTAGGAACCCTATGCATTATACCTACGTCACGATGTTAGCCAAGGAATGACAACGATGTCACCAGGCGGAAATGCCGTATGCAATTTGCATGCATTTAACATTCACACAGCCCGGCAACAGGTCCTCCACCGGACAGCAGCACGGCCTTATAACCTGAACGGCTCTCGGATGGTTACAAGCTTCAATTTGAATCGTGTATTGAAATTCCAGTGTCTGTAATACTTTGAGCTGCTCCATCAATCTATTCCGATAAAAAATAAAGAACAGTTTTCAATATCCCAGCGAATAGGAATTCTGGTTACGCTATACTATCACATAAGCTCAAAACTCATCAGGGCTGATTGGATCACACAAAAACCACCCCAGGAACCCTGGTAATATCTTCAGGAGGTGACGTTATTGGGCTTATTTGCGGTGTGTCGGTGACGGCGCGGGCGTGAACGGCCCATTTTCTGCTGCACATCCATCACCTGGGGCGCCATCAAAGAAAACTCGACTGGCAGACGTTCGTTCATCACAGCCTCTGACGTGGATGTGTGTACGAGGGAACGCCGTCGCGTCGGCCGCGGGCTGGAGGTATGGTGGGCGAATGGTGGGGAGGGAGGGGGGGGGGGGGGGCGGAGGACAGGGCGGATCGCGGCCATCCTTCTCTCCGTACAATTTCCTGCACATACATACATAGATGGAGTGAGGACGGACCCGGAGATACACGCTATCAGACAGCTGAAGACTGATGGCACTCGCAGAGCAGTAACACGACGTTAGGGAGCTGATGATAGTTTGGAAGAGCTCCGAGAAAATGATGAGTAATGGTCTCGTGGGTGTTTTTGAGGCTGTATCACGCTCTCGCAGAGTGAAAAGGAACATAAATCAGTTGGAGCACGGAGTTAACTCGGAGGTAGTTTCACTGAAAACACAGTTCAGTGTTTCGTGTGGAACATCTTCAAAACGCAAACACACAGTCCTTCTGCATTTACTGGAGCGAACACCTCACCGCCTTCACCGCTATTTAGCATAACGTGACTGTCTTCGACTAAAGCAGCCACTATACGGCACAAAACCACGGCCCGAGCGCTTCCATCACGGGAATCACCTACTCTGGGGACTCCTTAGCGCCCCCACGGCTCTGCAAAACTGCCGTGGCAGCGCTGCGGAACGGTAACACCCAGCTGGTCGGGCCGCGCTCTGCGATACAGCTCGGTCGTTGGCGACTTCTGTCGCTATCTGCTGGCCAAGGGGAGTGTTCTCGGACGTTTCACGGTCACCGGCTGCGGCACTGTTCAGAGGAGATAGCCGTAGACACTGGTGCGATCCAGCTAAGGGATTGCCGCGTTCTATCAACGCTGGAGAACGCCATTGGGATAGCACAGCCGGGTTACTGGGCAAATGGCCGAAAAAGAAATGATGCGAGCGATCAATTGTGCCAAATGAACGAACGAAAATAAAATTCAAATCCTTTTGGACAGCACTGCTGACGCCGTGACGCCATTTGCTGAATAGAACCGCAGCACGGAAACTCCAGAATACACAGGAGAGCGTCAGTTTGAAATACTGTCGCACTGCAATGGGCGCGACCTTTACATACAGCATAACTTCATGCAGCCGCTGCATGACCTCCAGAAAGTTCAGACGTCATGCCACCAAACTTTGTAAGCTGGAACAGTTAGCGGTTATATTCGAGGGTAAATGTGAACCCAGTCGTCCTGCCACCTCTTCTCGGTATGCATCAGAACTTTATCAATAATTCAGAGCATGAAATACGAACTCAAGAGTCAAGAAGGTAAGTTCACCAGCACCTGAATGAATCGACTTCCTGTATAAGTTAAATGCTGGCTTGGGCGAATGTAAATAGGTATTTGACTTTGGGTAGGGTCGGTAAAGAGTGAGCCCGGCCGTTTTCTTATTATGCTTCAAGAGCTGGAAACATTTATTTTGTTGGTGTGCAAAAATATTGTTTTGATTAAAATATAATAGGTAAGACAATGACCAAGACAAAAATGTTTTTTCATATTCAGTGTTTAAGCTCGCTCGTTTGAACCTGTAATTCACAAACAATGGAACATATTCGAGTGCGCGAATTCACATAAGTTGATCTGCCTTGACATTTACGGATTCTCAAATGCTTCCTGCACGCTGGGCGCTTGGCGTAGCATACTTTGCGTTGCTGCTGCGTGCACGTGCCTCTCGGCGCACTGTTTGTGCTATTCATTACAAAACATTATTTTCACGTACTTTCCTTCTAAACGAGCTTGACTTCTTCAAACGGGATATATTTAAAAGAGCAGTTTGAATTGCATATGATTCGCTGTTTGCACGTCACTCACAAACAACGAAAGCTCATCCAAAGCAATGGATCGGTCAGCGAAACGGCGAGTATGGTTGTTATCAGAGGCCGTGGCATTGTACATACGTTCGTACAATGTCTCGTAGATTTTGTTCGCGCTCAATAGACAGTAGCAGGCCAAAGCTAGGATAAAAATAGCAAAGGCTCTGCGTTGATCATATTTTCTCATATACACACATTAAGAGACTTTTCGCTAACGTCTATCTACCTACACATCACAAAACGATATTGATGTGTACATCAGATCATATCACATAATGATCAGACGACTCTTACGTAATGCTAAATGCATCTAAGCGAACGCCGTCGTCAGGACGACGACACCCATCACAAAGAGCGGGAAAGAAAGGAAGAGGGATTTGCGCGATATCGCCGCTGTCGGACTCACCTTGTTGGCGACGTTGGGGTCGATTTTGGCCATGGAGAAGAGCTCCTTGATGCCGGAGACGTTGCCCTCCTCGGCGGCGCAGAACAGCGCCGACACCACGAAATTCTCATCCTGCGGAAAAATATCGATAAATAAGCTCACAAATCAAAATTTACGGAAAAGGGGTAAAGCACACGCCAGTTGTGCTACTTAAAGCTATTTCTGCTACTGAACTCATATAATTTGCATGAATTATACGAGTGCCATGGATTACGAGGAATCGTGAAAGTTGGTGCAATGCAACTTGGTGCAAAAGTCGTACAATATCCATTGTACAATTTTTTTAATGCTAATACTCTCGGATATCGCTTTGTCCAATGTCCCTGTGCTCAGCGGACCCGAATTGCTCCGTATTGAGCGCTGGAGGTGACAATATAGAACGGACGATTGTCATTGCGGGTGACTGCAATAACCCATATTGCCGGTAATGTGTTACTCATGGGAAAACACATGCCAGGTCCAGCGCCGTGCCCCACCCTCTGCACTTCTCATCCTCTTATCATTTCATCTGTTTTTATCATCGTCCCTTTCCCTGCACCTTTGCACATATCTCTGACATTCTTCCTGCATCTGTCCCATTTCCTTCGTGATATGAACTCAGCAATTCATCTTCCACACACTGCCCTGTCCAACGCTGGCTGTCTGTCACGGTCTGCACGGTCGCATCTTGCCCCATGCCACCCCACCAAACGTCTTTATGGACACACATCCTGCCGTTTCTTAGTAAAGGGCTGGTCGGTGGGTCGCTCGATGGGTCGCCCGTTCCATGGGTTCCACTCAATGGGTTGCTCAGTGGGTCACCCGCCCGGTGGGTTGCCTGCTCGATGGGTTCCGCTCTATGGGCCCCACTCAGCTGACCTTCCGGCACCGGCGGGAACGGCCCAGGTGCCGTGTGTCGCGTCCAACAGCCATTTATCACGGAACGGGTGTCAGCCGTGACACCCATGGACCATGCACGGGACGGGCTGCCATCGACTCACGGCCCGGGGCGCCATGCAACCGATGCAGGTCGCAGGTCGATGGTGAAACGGAACAGAGGAGCGGACGTGTTACGACGAGAATTATGCAATGAAATTGACAGTGTCGCAGAGGATCGATCACTTCCAGTTATCTTTGAGGATGACATCAGCAAGAATCTTGATAAGACATTTCGCTGAAACTGGCTCGAGTGGCTTAAATCGACAATCTTTGCCGACACTGTAGCTTCCGCAATCGAGAAAGGTCCCGTGTTTAGGTTAAACGTTTAATGTTTGACCTGAACCCAAACAAACACGCCGTCTTGTTTGTGTCCATGGTGGGAAGCCCGGTAGACTACTGCCCCAGCTGGAAGGAGCGTGAGACAGCGGCAGCTGCAGCAATCCCATCCCGTGGTCCAGCGCCGCTCGCAGCTGCTCCAACCCCACCCATCCGAGACGGTGCGGGGACCGGTGAGCTCCTCTGATTCCGGCGTCTGCAGGAGCGGCTAAATCGGGAGACAGCGGCGAGCTGCTGCAGCCGAGCTGCGTGCTGCGTGTGCCCGGATCTCCAACCCAGGCAGTCTGATCTGAAGCCGGCGGAGCGGCGCAGCCATTGACCATTTATGTGACGGCATTCTCGGCTCCGGCTGAGCCCGGCCGCTATCCGGCGGGGTTAGCGTTCTCACACTGCGCGGCGGCGACGGTTCGGTTTTAATTCAGGCGGCTGATGCCGCCGCCAGTCCCGCTACTCTGGAAATAATCACCGGAAGAAGAACGGAAAATAGCGCGATGAATTTCCCGGCCGGGCGACGGTCAGCGCTTGAAACTCCAGTCTAAATGAGGCTCCAAGGACCGATGTGACCTGGCGCCTAATGGCCAAGTGGAGATATGGGTCGATAGACGACCTGCATGCATGTATTTCGTTATCATGTTAGAACGAACAACATGCCTAGCCACTCAGGGCGTCCATGTCAGCACAGGCAAGACCCAGCGTTATCGGTTCTCAGGTGTTAGCGGCTGCAGGTTGACGTGAGGCCGACGGTCCTCAGGTGTTTGCCGTCCCATATTTCACCGTTCTGGCACCGTCTCTTCCCAGGTGCGTCGGTACCTGCGCTGTCATTGTGTGGGTTTCAGCGATTGAACACGGGCCCAGAGGCTGTCACGATACAACCCCGAATCACACGCCGTGAGCCCAGAGTCGCCCTCAGGGTGGTCTGCCGTGCGCCACTTCTGCCTCCGCTGCGCCGTCTATGCCGCTGCTGCGCCGGCCATGGCGCCAATTACGCGATGGCTGGGACGTTCATGTCCGGCGAGCACGGACAGCGCGGCGCTGGGCCGTGACGGTGGCCCGTGACGTGACGTCTACCGTGACGACGATACGCCGCGTGTCGCCGTGACATTCCAGAGAATGACGACCGTGACGGGCCGGGCGGCGCCGCCCGTCTGTGGCACTGCAACTGGCACGAATCGCGCCCCTGTGTCTGTAGGTATGTGTGTCTGTGTGTTTTCGTGCACAGAACGCTCTTGTGCAGCGAAGGACGCTGTCGTCTTTGGTAAGGCTTCTAGAAGGCGAGCCAAGAGCCGTAAAAGTTACTTCTGTAAGGTTTCGACCCCAAAGAAAAATTATCTATCGTATCTGAAACAGCCACACATTTTCAAACAGAATAAAGCTTCATAACGGACTCGTTACGGAAAAGCCGAATGCTGATGCAGAGGCCTGGTGACTGCAGTTTCCTCGCTAGTTCTGGTGAGCAGATGCACTCCGAGTAGGTATAGCTGCAGCGCACAGCCGCGCCATGCCAGCGCTTTCTGCTCAATTGGGTGGGCGTATCTGCCCTCCACTGTGCTTCACTACCTACCTGTCTACACTTAGCTTTTACTGAGGCCTGGGAAATGGAGCCCAACATGTGATTTCATGATTTAGTGGTAGTTTAATTAAAATTCAGGATCGAAATTCATGAGCATGATGACCTGATTTACGTACATACGTAATCGCTTCCTGTCAACCACTGGGCTTGAGCATCTCGCCCTCGCCAGACCGCTTATCGCCCCAGACCTTGCTTCCATCGCGGGAGCTGGTCACTGTGGTCGGTGGTCACTCTTTGTGCCGCAAAAAAAAGTCCCTCTGTCCCACCCCACCATCACACTGCGCACAATAACCGTGGCTCTGGTAAACACAGGACGCGGGACGTGCCGCGGGCGTGCTCCCAGGCGTGTTCCTAACGCCAAAGAGGTGCGACATTTCCGACAAGTAATGCGCTGAATGCGCGGTGCTGCGCACTTGGGTGGACCGCTGAGTGCGTGCCCCCAGGGTATGTCTGGGGGTCACGGACGGTGATGCTCCAGCACTGATCAGCTATGTGTCGTGAGCCGTGGCGGTACGTGCCGTTCCGTGATCCTCAGGTTATCAGGAAGGTCAGGTTCTCCACGGGGCGGAGCAGAGACACGTCCTATGTTGTGTGTGCTTACACGTCGTCGCGTCGGCTTACCGCAATGACGCGTAATAGTCTATAGAACGGAACCTGTCTGTACGGATCAGTGAGTCTTCCTCAGGTCATCCCATGGGATATAACCCCGGGAAGGCTGACGCCGGACTGCGCAGAGGCCAGCAGGTAACTCGAATCAACAGACAGATGGCATAGGAAAGGGAGCAACTGTCTTCCTGTCTGTCTGTCTGTCTGTCTGCTTATATGTGTGCCTGTCTTTGCATGTCTTCTTATATCTTCATTGCCCAATGTCCATATCTTCTGTCTCTATGTAGGTCTATCCACCTGCCCTATCTCTATCTGTCTGTCTGTTGGTCTGAATGTCTGATGTATGTCTGTCTGCCGTCGAGGTGTCTGGCGCCCATCCCCGTTCGTTACATCCTCTTGGGGCACACGACACGTGCCGAGTCTCAGGTGGATCCCAGACAGCACCGGAACGACACACCGCCACGAGCAGTGAAGTGAAACATTTAGCACCATGACTACAGTAGAGTGGTCTGAAAATACTCCATCCGCAGACACTGGCGTGATGGTGACTGGGGAGAGGAAGCTAGAACTTTTACTGTCAAATTGGTTTCATCAGAGAGTGACGTACAGGGAAGTGCTAGAAATACTCATAAATGCGTGGTGATGAGCGCTCATTGCACTTCATGATCGTGAATGAGATCACTTGGTTTCATCATTTCACATACGGCTGACGGCTGCCACGTTTAGTTCGTGGCATTTCGCAGACCCAGCCTTTGGTGTCAGCCGCGGGGCAGCTGCTCCAAAGCGAAGTCGGCAGCCACTCGGGCAAATCTCATTCATGTCAGGCGGGCGGTGGTTGTGACGGTGGAGGCCGGGTAATATGTATCTGGAGACTCCGTCTGTGTCAGTGTTCCGGGCAGTCGCAGAGGCGAGCGGGTCCGTCCGCCGTCCGCAGAGCAAGCCGAGCGTTTCCGTGGTGTGCGCGGCGGTGGAACATTCTCCGACCGCCAGTGTGTGGCAGCAAACCGTTAGTGATATCAAACTTTCGGAGAATCATGGTAGCCTGAGCTCAGCCTACCGGAGGCTGACAGCCGCAAACCGGCGCTCGATGATTGCCTGCGTGGTGGTCTCTGCGTTCACTAGAAAATACCTGTGGCAGGATTCTGAACCGCTGATGGATGCCTGAGCTGACACAAAAAGTGTAATCCGCTCGCGGTCATCTGCCGAAGGCTGTCCGCTGCCTTTCAATGCAGAGATCGCCTACGCAGCACTTGATACAAGATACTTCTGAGCAGATGTTCACCAGAACCGTCGTCTGACCGCAGTGATCTTATCTCATAGTTTTTCAATAACCCCTCCACTTTCCGTCTCCGATTACAGCTAGGACTTTGGAGCTATCGAGCGGCAATGGCCGTCAGTCAGCCATGAGCGGCAACAGGTGTAGCCAGGCCCCACTCAGGTGGGTAGCAGCACCACCTGTGATCAGCGGCCGTCTGACGGACAGGCCGCACACGAGTCCGTCATTCCGTCACCGCACAGCAGTCCCACGGCGAGCGGCGAACGACAAAAACTCGCCACACGATGATCACCAGCGACTGACGAAACTCTGCCCGTGAGAAAACGACGTAACTCTGCCCGTGAGAAAACTGACAATAGTCGTGTT